GGGGATTCGGGAGTGCGGTCAGTGTTTGTTATCAGCGTGGGGCACGTGACATTGTTGGACGTGTAGACAACGGCTGCTGTAGACGGGGCGCTGCAGTTGGTACGAGGATTCCTATAAGACCGATGGGTGTTCGGAACGTCCGCTGACATCGTGGGCAGGAAGGGGTAGTTGAGCATTGGCGTTGCGGGTTGGGGGCAGTTGAGATTTAAGAGCTTCACGCTTGACTTTGGCGGCGACTACGAGGTTGGTATTCATTGGAAAGCAGACTACTGTCCGTCTAGTGTGATCTCTATAACATTATGAAGTTTTTAGTACCGCAGGTGTGTTACACTGACGCAACCCGATCTCTTGCAATGAATATTAAGTGAACTCCCTGCATAAAGTTATTCTTGTACCATTCCGTTTGGGATAGGCAAATTAGAACAGTACTTTTTCTCCTTGAGAGTGAAACACGTCATGCTAGTCTTTTATTACAACTACCGAGTTTTCTTAATGCTGTTAAATACGACATCGCTTGATCAACAAGTTGAAGTATGATAAACTGCGAGTGATGACTGGACAACCACCTTTTGCACATTCACGATACGTTCATTTGCAAACCGTGACAAGCATCCGTTTAAACAATGACTTTCAAAAGTAAACGGCTGATTATGTAAGTTTCGCCAAAATGGCACGTTCGTTCCCTCTATCTACTGCTGAGGGATATAGTATGGATGGACTCTGCGAAGAAATGTAGTCGTTTCACCCAGATATTGTCTGTTTCCAGGACATACCTGGTGTCGACTCGCAGTAAGAATTGCACAAAGGTCTACTTATGCATCGCGGAGACGATTCCCTAGGTTACTTAATGATATACAGCAAACGTTGCGCAATCTACTCACATGAGGTCGTTTTCTTCACTGTAGTATACTGAAACCAAACAGAAGACCAGATGACTGACTGCGACATTTAGGCGTACTCATAACAAACGAGTATAACTGCAAATAGTTTTGTTCTATTTTTTCAGATCATTTGGGCCTAGGTTTGTGGATTACATGCGTTGGCTTCAATACTGATGACTAGGATCCAGTTCTTATGAAACTCCCTTTGCGCTCGGAACAGTGACCCTTACATCGGTCTCGTTGATTACGTTCTGTGCAATTTTAACACATGATATGGCCCAGGAACTGTCTAGTTTCTATTGAATAATGCGAAATACTCTCACATTTCAGTTTAGCTAGTTATCATCCACACCACGACTGATGATTACCTAATACCTCACTTGGCACTTTTATTAGCCGCGATCCCGCACAAAGCACAGATCAGCGTACTTGTTATGGAGAGCGCAACCGGTGTGGAGTCACGACCAAAAAACGAAAGGAAGACTCGACAACGCGCTGACCAGAGGACCATGCTGACGGCGTGATGCACGCGTGAAAGTAGACGGGCGACCGACGTGTACTATAGTGCCGAGCACGTGTGGTGACTTTGCTTACGCGTGCGGCCCAATCAGTGGCTGGTCGAACATCCTTGACTTCTCCTGGGGGCGATTCTCGCGCACGCGGTGGCCAATCCACGACCAGCCAGCCATGGGCAGGACGGTTCTAGAACGCCCTCAACGGCTGGCACGCCATTGGGCTGAATGTTCCGGAACTCACAGGGGTCCACCCATATTGGCGTCTTTCTGACGAGTTGAAGCCCCTCGTGTTTGCAGGCTGCCAGTAAAGTGCTTGTTCTACGAGCCGGCTCTCTTTCTGTTCCTCCATCCTTTCGGGCCATAACACACCTCCCCCAGTTGACCTACCTATGAGAACCGGGTTTCGCTAAGTGCAACGATGACCACCTTGTAGCGCGTTAGTTTCCGAGCTACTGGCACTGTCCTCCGTTCCGGTCAGTTGCTCCTAGGATTGTCTAAAAGTGAACGGACATTCCAGGCTGCCAGAGTGAGCGGACTTACCCAAACAACTTGTGGAGTGGGACGGCGGGAAGGAGGGAGAGAGAGAATACTTTGTCTTATGTTTGGGTTTCGCCCACATGTCTCGCAGTCTGCGAGCCACGGTCAGCGCGCAGAAGCCGTGGGCCCAGCTTTGTTTAGGGCACTTTTTCTAGCCTCCTCCTCCTCCTGCTCCTCCTCCTCCTCCTTCTCCTCCTCCTCCTCCTCCTCCTCCTCCTCATCATCATCATCATCATCATCATCATCCTCTCTAAATAGGGCTGCTTTGTCGCATCTGACGGATACCGCCCTCCATTATGGGTCACGGGCTTTAGTGAGAGAACGACCAATGGCCTGGGCCGGCTACGTGATTGTTGTCGCACTCTCTGTTGAACTTTCGATCGTGGGGTAAAACAGTAGAGTAGGGTAGGGGGCAGATGGAGAGTAAAGGGCAGGCGAGAGTGCGGAGAGAGTAGAAATGGGCTGGTCATCCAGCCACTGGGTCAGTAGCTAGTTGAGTGCTGAAAAGCAAGGGTGATTAGGCAAGGACAATCAAGAGATATTCAGCTTACCTAGGGGACCACTTAACTTGTGACCTTCGGAGTGGTTGCAGAGAGAGCCTCATCTTGGAGACGACAATGCGGTGATCCGTAGGACTGTCGGAAGTGGTGTGGTCGATAAGACAAAGATTGCAAAATCAGAAGTCAGACAAGACGGGTTGGGTTGGAGTACCTTTACTGCTGAGGAAGTGCGTACACAAAGCTTTGCAAGCAGTCGCCGCGAGCGATCTCTCCGGGCAAGTTGCGTTGTTTGTGTCCGCCGTTGAGGTGCTTAGATCCCAGCGTGTGTGTGCTTTTCGCTCTGCCTTGGTGTCGCCAACCAATCACAGATGGGGCAGCGTTGATTGGCCTCGAACGCTCGCTAGTTCCAGCGGCGACTCGACAGGGAGTGTGAGGCGGACAGGAGGGCAACGTGACAAGCAACGGAAGACTAGGAGGCGCAGACTTTCGACCGTGGGGAAGAGAGAAGGGTAGAGAGTTGAGGGAGTGGAGAATAGGTGCGAAGGCGTAGAAAGGGACAGGTCTCCCAGCCACTGGGCCAGTAGCTTGCTGAGTGCTCACTTACCGCAAACGTCTAAAGCAGCATTAAATAGGGGTTGGGTAAGATGTGGTTACGTAGCCTCACCTGATGGACGCTATACTGTTGGGGTTGGGGTTAGGGCTAGGGTTTGTGGTTATGGCATATGCTCATGGGTTATGGTTAGGGGTTAGGGTTAGAGGTTAGGGTTAGCGTTAGGGGTGGAGCAACTATTTCTCAACTGCTCAAAGTAAAACCGCGCACTCCCGACAGTTTTTTCTTTTGCACACGATTACTTAACTTTGTCGCCTGTGCCCCACCTGTAAATACTCCTATTACCACCAATCCCATGTTACAGGTGGCTGGGGTTTGTTTGCTTCAGGTGGGGCTGCATAACCGCACCCGACCTGGAGTTGAAAAGACTGGTCGAGCACCGTGGCCATTTGTACATTTTTCCGAGCTTCCGAGTTTTTGCAAGAGTTCAACGTCAGAGATAAAAGCAGCCACAGAACAAACCATTGTTATAGGGGGTGGTAGCCAATCAACGACCAGTTTCAGCTTTTGTCTTTAACGACTTACCCCTTGCACCAGTTTAGAGGCTCGAAAAATTAAACAAATTGTACCGGTGCTCAATCAGTCTTTTCATACATATACCTGAAATTCGAAAATTACCTTCATTAACAGTTTTAAGTGCAAGTTCAGTTCTGACAATCTTGTCGATAGCTTTCGTTACAGGGACTCCAGAATTGCATAGCAGTTTAATTCTTTCAGACCGCTCAGTGCGAAATCAGCCGGAGTGATACGCTCCCTGCATTTTTTAAAATCGCAAAACTAAGTATAAGGGGACAGCAATAGAGGGACAAACTCACAGACGTAACTCCGACCTCCGTAGTTCTTAACCCCTGCTGATGGGCTAAACCATCTACGTCATTAAGTTACAAAAATCACTATCAAAGGCTGATACCCAGTTAAGCCTCCGCGTGGCTTGCACGTCTGGACCATGTTATCTAGAGCTATGCTGATTGTCGCGTTCCCATGTACGGACGGCACTGATCGTTGTGTGAACGCCACCTAGTGCGAAAATCAGCCACCTTGAATTCAGCCTGCGACCAAAGCTGGAAAAGTTGCTTCCATCAGCAGCTGTGCGCATAACTGACGGCAGGCTAGGCTTACGTGGCTTCGTCGCTCTTGACGCGGCGGAAGGGTGCGGCGTATTGGCAGAGCCGCGATTCAAGTGCGCACGCGCCGTGACAAGACACGGCAGGAGGCTGAATTTTGCCCTTTCTGAGGGCTGGAAATTTCCCTTGTTCCCTCCCTTCCTTTAACATCATTCTGCGTTGCAACCCCATCTTCATCACGGGAAACGGGGGCTTGTGACCGGGGGAAGCTCCTGTGAGGAGCGCTGTTGATCTTATCGGACCGTCTGCTATAGTGAGGACATGTAGATAGAACTAGAAAATTCTGCATTTGTAAGCAACATCAAATCTTGCTTGGCGTGATGTCATCATCGTCACAGCCAAAGCGAGGGGATCTGAGCCTGTTTATTGCAAAGCTAAAGTCAGAGTTACACTGTAAAGCCGAACTGTTAACAGTCCTTTAAGCAGAATGGTATTACCGATAAAGACAGGGGAGACTGGAATGGCCATTTCTGGCTTATTAGTCGTCGTTAGCCAGTCATACCCAACCCCGAAGTGTGGAACACCTGAGACTCGAACTCGCGACCTGTTAGTTAGAAGTCCAACGCCTCTAACCGCAGGGCCACTGGCCCGTTGTTTTGTCGGTTGCGATCGGAAATATAGATTGGTAGAGGGGCGCTCGCCGATCGTTTCTACGGGACAGTCCCTTAACTTCACCGAGCTCGTCGCTCTGTTCGCTGTGAGCTGCATAGCGCACGTAAGTCCTGCCGCAGGGATTCCAACTTGAAGACCTCAGACGCTAAAACAACGAGTGAAAAACAACGTTCCCGTGTCCTCATCTGTACTTACAGGAATGCGTTTTTATGGCAGCGAACTCACCAGACAAAAGTTGGACTTGACGGTCCCCACCGAATACGTGTCTCAGGGCCAGGAAAAATGCATCTAAAATTCAGTGAACATTCTACTGGAGAGACAATGGCAAGGAATTGTGATGTTATGCGTGATTAGAATTCGCAATCAAGGACGAGGTAGTCAGGCGGGTGACTGCCTCCCCTCCCCCCTCCCCAAAAAAATCTGCCTCACTACTCCGAGGCAACCACTGGCCAGGAGGAATCACGTCAGTATTGTCGGTTTGAGGAAACCTTCCAAAAACTGTGCCATCGATGGAGACGACACAAATAGAGTGACTCATTGACCTCGGTGGCTTCAGTGCCTCAGGATGCACAGGCTGCACGTCTCGACAGAAAGTCAACAACCGATACGAAGTCGAACCTGATACTCTGATGGTCGCCCTGCGTGAACATTTGCCCGGGATACGTCTACTACATCATGTGAACAATTTTTGGCCTTCTCTTCCCGAACGTAGTCTTGTTAACGTCATTAAAGGAATATGCAACTGGTAAAAGTAGAGACGACAGGGGCGTATTAGTCAGAATCGCCTGGAGTTAATTTTGCGATGTGGCGTGTGTCGCTCGTTAGGTCTTAGACCAGCTTGAACTCCAGCAAAAGGGTCGTTTAAAGGGAAAAATCAACGTGTCCTAAAACATACTCGTACAAATGAATGGGCATCAGCAGACCAATAATTACAATAAACAGTTCTTTAGAAAACGTTCATCAGGTACTGACGGCTATTACAACAGAAATTATTAAAAATGCAAACTTCCGAGTTGTAGGCGGACAACAACCCATAGAAAACGCAAAATTCGCCGCCACCAAATCCATGCGGTTTAGCGCTATCCACAGAGAAGTTGTAGACCTTACTTTGGTTCGCATCAATACCGCGCGCTGTAACACCCTCTTCAGCCAATTGCCGCATGAATGCATCAGCGCGGCTAGTCAATCAAAGACGTGCGACTGCCGACCGAGAAATCCACAATGCTTGCGTATGCTCTTACGAGCACATTACGGACGTTCAAATGTACTCACTCGGCAAACGCACGGGCCGCTTCTGCATAACGCGCGCGATCAACCCGCCATGTTGTTGTCTTACGACTCATGTGAATCATCCCGGATATGCAGATTTCGACAGAATTTTCCAGAGTCCATCGAAGGTCAGATCGACCAAGTGATGCAAAAGGTGGTCCGCATTTTCTGGCACTATTCCCCTTGTCATCAGACCACGAAAATCATGTTCGGTATTCTTCGATGTTTCAGGAATCCGCGTTGTGCTTGCGGAAGGAGTCTCTGCTCCAGATACATGCCCAAGCGACACATTTATAAACTTCTTTCCGGAAATCTTGAGAGGGAAGAGTTAGGAGTGTTTGTCAGTGATCTGACAGTTTCCATAACCGTCACATGTCATAAAAAAAGTGAAGCAAGTCCGTGAATGATAAAGGAACATCGCGTTTGTAAATGTTGACTGGGACTCTGTCTGCACCCAGCGCTTCTCCGCTGGAAAGACGCTACACTGCCTTTCTTGCCTCTTGAGAAGTAGATAGGCGATTGAGGTTGTCAGTGGTGTTAACTAATGGGATCCGTTTGATGATTTCGCAGATTTTAGATGCATGACTAGAGATACCATTGAGATGCTCGACCCAGCTGTTCAGGATCTGTGACTTCCTCAAAAGTGGGGTGCTCCATCTTAGCTGAACAGCGTTCCAGTCTCCTTGGCTTGATTACCATTGAATGTCCTGACAACCGAGAAAACAAATTCTTCATCCCACCGCCGTCGGCATATTCTTGGATTTCTCCAACCTTATGAGTTAGCCTGTCACTCTGCAGCTCCCTCGGTCTCTGCTCAAGTGAGTTTTGACATCAGAACTATGCGGTCTTATCGGTGCTGGCTGTGAGATGCGCTTCTTTTTTCTTGTTGTCGAGCCAGTTTTGGTGCTGTCGAGGAGTTTCAGTGAGATGGTCTGAAGGACGTTCGCAGTTCACTACACCGAGTCTCAGCGGTGACATTTTCTTCAAGGATTTACATTTGCTCCACTCCGAGATTCATACGATCGCTCAATTCCAATCGATGTTCGGTCGTATCCAATAATGGAGTATTCAGCTTATATGGCGTTTGCTTACCTTGCATGAGCCAGCACCGCTCTGCTTGCAGGCTCATCTTGGAGATAACAAGTTTGTGATCCATCTAGAGTTCTGCACCGCACATCGAGCCAGCCCCACCTCCTGACCAGGACGAAGTACAGCCGTTGCCTGAGGTACGAGCAAGGAAGACCGAAGAATATGTCGGGCAGGAGAGGGTCGTCCTTTTTTGAAGGGGAGTGAGGCCAGTTCTGTTGCAGCTGTCAAACCCGTAGAGACCCGAATGACATTACTGACAAAGACAGAGGAGACTGGAATGGCCATTTCTGGCTTATTAGCCGTCGTCAGCCAGTCATACCCGACCCGAAGTGTGGCACACCCGAGGTTCGAACTCGCGACCTGTAGGTCAGAAGTCCACGCTTCTAACCACTGAGTCGCTAGCCTGTTGCCCTGTCTGTTTTCGATCGGGAACATAGAATGGTAGAGGGGCGCTCACCGATCGTTCTTACGGAACTCACTCGTTCCGTTGTGCCTTATGGACTCTCTCTCGAGTCCAACCAGCAGCCGCGGAGCGGTTAGAGGCGTGGACTTCTAACAAACAGGTCGCGAGTTCGAACCTCGGGTGTGCCACACTTGGGGGTTGGGTATGACTGGCTGACGACGGCTAATAAGCCGGAAGTGGCCATTCCAGTCTCCCTTATCTTTGTCTGTAATGTCATTCAGCCTATATCATGCGCCGCTCTGCGGCTGCTGGTTGGGCTCGAGAGAGCGAGTCCATAAGGCACAACGGAACGAGTGAGTTCCGTAAGAACGATCGGTGAGCGCCCCCTACCACTGTAGAGACCAATCATCTCTCCCATGTAGCGTGGTGTGTACCGACGCGAGCACTACAGTCGTCAGGACCAATTAATTTATCCCCCTACGGTACGGTTTCTTGGACGACGTGCTAATCTTCGTGGAATTTTTCTACCGCTTCGTCAGGACATGTCAGTATTAGAGCGCAGACGCCAATGTTAGTGGGAAACATTTACCCTAGGACTGATAATTTCACGACCATAATACGGCCGGGGATTCTCTGTGAAAGACAGGATAGTTTTCACACGATGTCGATCGTGATGTTGATTCTGTCGTTTAGTCACTCCGCTCTGGGCTTGTGCTCCAGGAGGAGGCCTATTATGGCGTCCACCTCTTCCCTTTGTCTCATGGACAGTTGCAATGCCCACTCTGTGCAGGGCCATTTCCCTGACGGGCAGAGATGTCATATTTTCTGGCTGGTCGTTTACTAATTTGTCTAAGAGAGGGCTAACATTTCAGGCTGCCAGAATGAGCAGTCACCCTAGCAGGCTGTGAGAAAACACGGAAATCGGAACGGAGGTGGCCGCTGTTTCGTATGCCTATTTGACCGCATATTTTGTGTCTACCAGCCACGGACAGCTTGTCGAAGACATGTCTACTAACACTTTTAGTGCACACTTTCCGGCTCCCTCCCCACAAAGTCATAAGCCGTGCATCCCTAAATAGGTTTGCTTGTTCATCAGAGCAGGTTGCCGGAGTCGACTGTGGAGCACGACTTTGTTGCAGATGAAAGATGTTCGCGACTAGCCTGGGTCTCCTGCAGAATCGTATATCGCTCTCTCTCTCTCTCTCTCTCTCTCTTTCTCTCTCTCTCTCTCTTTCTCTCTCTGTGGGACACTTTGTTTGGATGTAGGAAAGAGTTGGCGTAAGTGAAACACGCTATCAGACGTGGAAACACAAACGCGACGGACGCCCTCATCTGGGTTACTTCGGTAACCAAGGTTGTTTTCGGGGGCGTGGTCGCCGTGCTGAGCATGCCTTCGTGGAGCCACAGATGAGTGCTGAGTGTTAGGGCGGGGGAAGTAGAAGCATCCACCAGGTTCATCGATGCATTTGATGCGGACAGCCAGCGTGCTGCTCGCTTCCTACGATCGCGGTCCAGTCTCGTATAACCGACCCAGACGGTATTGCATAAGTTACCTGTCCATGCGTGGCAGTCTTCAGCAGGCTACTCTTGTCAGTGTACTGTCGTGCAACGACCATCCAACCTCATCGGCGGACCGGAAGTGTGCCTGTAGTTCCAACGTGGGTTTCCTCATTCTTCGCCTCTCCCAACGACACGACGGGCAGCCGTCCCGATGTTATGAATACAGGCCAGTCACATTTCTTCCCATCCTCCGGGTTTATTGGGTCAGAATGTTGCATGAAGGTCTGGCTGAGAATTCTGACGCTCATTGGCCACATATGCTAAAGGACAACATGTGTGGTGTGACAAATTTCCGCAATGTTTAACTGCGTACCTTTTTGCCTCGGGTTTTTAACATCCTAGTGGTGAGGGCAGTGAACAAAACATCCGAAGTGCAATGATAAGGACGCAGTTTCGATGTATGGATGCAACTGCACTTTTTCTCTATTTCAATTTACATGCACTCTACACCCTTCTACTATTTTGCTGCTTCGAGAACGTCCTGAGCATTTTGAAATTTCCCAGTTTTAAGCGTCCAGTAAGAGTAAATTGAAATGCGTGAATGTGTACTCGAACGTTTTCGAGGGTGGGAAGGATTTCAGCTAGGTAACGAGAACCTGCATCGCTTTTGTCAAAAAAGTGCGTTAATAGAGCTTAACAGCGGCACACTGCCAACGGGCTGGCGTTAGATATCCTAATATTAGATCCACGAAAAGGCTTGGTAGTCTACACATAGGGTAGCTGTAAAATTGTGACTCACTGTTGTTTAGAAGGGGGAATTAATCGGTGGGATATCAGCAACAGTAGCAGAAAAACCGGGCTAACTTTTATTCTGTGGACGATTCAAACAGAATTAAAGGGGCAAATTGACAATCACTGTGTGAAAAAAAAACAGCTTAACACTCGACTAAGAAGGATTCTACTTATAATGATGTCATTTGAGAAGTGAAATCAGACTCTCTATCGACCATGAAATCACCTGGGGAGGATATTTTATAACGGCAATGTGACGGTCAGAGATCGTTTCCTTTTAGTAACGGAAGCGGGAAGACACGAGTAATTAGGAATTATTATGTGCCGAATCCGGGGCTGACGATTCCTACAATTGAGTGTGGCCGCAAAGAGAGTGGCCATGCATGCGAGAATAGATGGCCGCATGAGCGTTGAAAAGTTGATTGATTCAGCGCGAAAGTGGCCATGGACGTGAGTCCAGACTGAAATCATTTTCGCAACATTCTAATCGCAGCCAAATCTTCCCCGAGGATGTTCGATCTTTCTGAAATTTTTCTTTCGACAGTTTAACAGATGAAATCCGTCGAAACCATCCCTTATCCATCACAGTTACCTGCAAAGTTAGTCTCTTAATTGCTCGAGTCCCCACTTAGTTTATTTCATGCTAACAAGTGCGGCGAGTACGGAAGGCGGTGTTGGGGTGCAGCCACAGAATGAATTTCGCGAACTGTCCGCGCTCTTTGAGATGAAAGACATACGCTCGCATCTCCTTTTCATATGCTTCCTTGAACGCGCCTTTTCGTCTGTACTGACGGTTTTGCAGATATCAATTTTCTGGAACTCGCGGGACCAAATATCCAACTAGAATGAGTAGGGAACTTTGAATCTGTAGCTTGGGAGGACATGGATTTGACCTTCTTTGGTGTCAAACTGCACAGTTTTGATGGACGCGATCGCATACTAAAATAAGCTCGGATATAAAAGGGCCGAAGAAACTTTTTGAACCATGCAAAGGGTGGACTGGGTTAGAGCACCTGAACCGTCAATTTATGGGAAATACCCGAAAGGCGGGCGTCGGATATCAGGCGTGTTATGCGAGATACAAGTATACAGACAACTTCCCCGCCACTGCGAGTCGTCAGTTAGCTTCTCATTTTGTGTATTCCGATCTGACATTCTAGGTCCCTCTTCGTCATTTGCGGCAGAACATTGGCTAAAACCAGAGCCATAGGTAGTGCATTTACTGATGTCTCTCATATCTCCTTCCACAAGCGGTTTACCCAAGTACATCAGAAACTAGTGAGTTGGTAAAGGGAGCGCAGTCAAAAGGCATGAGGAGCGGCCGGGATGTAAACAGCCTCCGTAGACGCAACGTCCATGGCCATGCATGTCATGAATAGTTGTCACGAGCTCTGAGCAATGACGAAGTGGAAATCCTAACGGAGAATTTCTTCCGTCGCATGCCTTAAAAGCGGAGAATTAAAATGAAATACTCGTAAATATATCCTAATTTCGGCCTGATCACTTGTGAGCCCATGACCTCCCAGGAGTTCGCGTTGCGGCAACCAATGGGCTGGTTAGCTGAGGACGAGGCTAAACAGCGGAAGTGATCCTAACCGGCGCCCTGGGCACCAGTGTCTTTGAGACCACGACATCCGTGAACACGCGTCCCAGGAGGGGTAATCGGACTCTTCAACCATCTCCAATCTCTCAAGCACGTCAAGAATGTTCGTTGTGCCCACTACAGCTAATTACGTACAGCGTTTCACCCTTTATTCGATTCTTCTTTTCGTTTCGCTGCTGGCCAAACACTGCAGCACAACTCCGGCCGACATAACCACAACCGCATTACTCATAGGGATTCTTTCAATTTATCTACCCATCAATGACGACCACATTTTAAACGAAAGCCGGGAACGGAACGTGCGACCGAGGCACAAGGCTCTTAAGCGCCCCATGCAACGGATAGAACACTTGGTGTTCACCAAGTACTAACTAAGATTTTGGGCTCGTTACGTCGATGACACCTTCGCCATTGTCAAATCATCTGACGTGAAGCACCTTGAAGAATTACTTAACTCGGTCGACCCGAATATCCAATTCACGATGGAAGCTGAAACAAACAACCAACTCCCCCTCCTCGATGTCCTTGTGCGTCGGTGTTCAACTGGGAAATTGCAAACTACCCTTTTCAGAAAGGCCACCAACACTAGACAAATACTACATTTCAACAGCAATCACACCCCTCTCACAAACGCAGCTGTGTCCGTACTCTAGTTCTAAGAGTTGAAACATACTGCAGCACACCAGCCGACAAGTTCGACGGCAATACCTCATGACCTCTTTCGGGCCAATGGATACCCAAGCTATTTTATCAAGTAAAGCGAGCGCCGAGTGAACAGACGACGGCCACAAGAAAAACAACCCGAAGTCTGGAGGGAATTTCCTTGCATTAATGGAGTCTCCGAGTCGGTTTCGCAACTGCTACAACCCGCCAGGATAGAGATTGCCCATCGACCCCAGGCAACAGTTCGTCGCCGTTTGATGCAACCCGAAGGCATACTGCCAACCACTGAAACCTCAGCAGTTGTCTATCAAATAAGTCGTAACGATGGAGACTGAACTACGTTGGGCAAACCAGACGGCAATTGCAGGCCCGCCTACATGAGCACAAGCTGGCAACTCGAGGACTAGACCCAAACTCAGCTTGCGGCTCACATCGGAGAAACTGGCCACAACTTTGGCTTTCAAAGAGTAACCGTCTTAGGCCGGGGCACCTCAGGGACAGAATGTCTCTTAGTAACCGTCCGAAAATAACTTGTTCATGCAACATAACGTGGGACGCAGAGTAAGCATGCAAGGGCATTCAGTAATCATAAACGACTGCACCATAAAATTAGGAGTGGGGGGGGTAGTAACTGGGGCAAAACAATCAACAGCGGCGGTGACCACAGGTTGATCCACCGTCTGCAAAACAGAAAGAACAACAAAGAAGATAATAGAGCTTCACCAGTACTTTTTGAGAAGGCAAGCGCAGTTGTTCCCCCATTCGGGAGAGGGGGTGCAGGGTCCACGGAACAACAGCAGGAAAGCGCCTTGGCGCATTACGCGTGTGTGTACGAAGCAAGTTGACAGTCTGTATTTGACAATACGGTAGCAAAGGAACCAAAATAGCTTGAACCACTATTTTCCTCTTGACTTGAGGAAATTCCACTAGGTGCAGTGAAGTCCTGCTGATGCGGAGAATCTACTTCCGTCCCCCTTGGTTGATCAGTTGATTCAGCACTAACCGTCGCTTCCTCGTTCTCCTCCTCTTCTTCAGCCGTTTCCAACCACCGTAGCCACCGAATCACCTAGGTGCCGAAAAGAAGGCGCAGGGTATTGGGGTTCAATGAAGAGGACATTAAATACAAATTGGTTGGTGTCATGAAGAAGGTACATTACCTCGAAGAGAGCCTGACCCTTCGCAGGGTAATTTTGATCCACCTCTTCCCTCCACTGCAAAAAAGTAGCCTCGTCAACCAGGTCCATGTAATACATATTTATGAAGCAACGAAGAAGGAAGCCTGAAGATCAAATAGAAGCGTGAGATGGGAAAGGACGAGAAAACAATAAATTATTGTGGCGTAAAAGTGGGTACCTTTAGGCTGAGATTTGTCATTCCAGAATATCTGCAAAGCGTGAAGGGCGTCCAATTGGTGACTCGGTGAGTCTTTGAAGCAGACCCTTAGATTGGCATCGGCCAACTGTTTCCAGGCCTGCTCTTCGAGAGTCATGAGGTCCTCAACAGAGGCAGAAGCGCCCAAGATCCCAACGCCGAGTTGCAGAATACGTTGGAAGACGGTAGCCATGAGGCTGTGTACAAAGTCCGCCGTGACGCTGCCTTCTGCTTCGCTAAGGTACGCTTCCAGTCGGGTAGCAAACTGTGGTGAGAGAGGCGGGAGCTGCGAAGGACGGTCGCTTTCGTCGGCCGGTGAATCTACAGTTGTGTCAAGACCCGACAAGAGGAGCTGGGACAATTCCTCAGCTACTTGGAGACCAGGCACCAGAAACGTCAGTGCACGTTCCTCCAGTACAGCAAGCATGCGGTCCGGCGCCTGACTGCCAACTACAAAATGGACAGACAAAGGTCACAAAATGGCGGTCGGGCCTATGCAACATTGCTTAGAAATAAAGTTCCTACTCGTATGTTGACTAGACTTCGTCAATTAGCCGAGGCCGGCTAAGCCGAAAGAATGTACGACTGAAGTAACTGGGAAATTTCTTAATTAAGTGTATGCCAAAGGAATTGGGGGTTACGGTGCGATCCCTATAAGTTTTTAACAACGCACGCAATGACCCAAGCCCATTTTACATATGTTTTTGGCCTAAAAGGATCAACTTTCCGCCTCGTAAAACAGTCGTCGGCAATGGTTACGACTACAGTCGCTCCCGATATGTCCTTTGATGACAAACTAGAGGCAAAATCTTGTTTGTCTTATGCGTTTGTCAACTGGTACGCCACAAAATGGCACACTTGCCTGGCAACATTTTTTCCATGTCAATTTTGCTGTTTTTAAAGTGTTCCGCCAGAAAGCGTTTGCGTCCCTGTTTGGAATGCTTGAACACATCACATAATGGACCCTCGCCACAGACCGGAATAAAATCGCCATCCTCCACGAAGGACGAGGAGAGGAAAGACCCGGGCATAGCATCGGACTCGAGCATCTGCGAGAGTTGTTGAAGCACCAACAAAAAAAGGGGATAGTGACGGCCTGCCGTGAGTGGCGCAGCCATCTCCTCCAGACTCAAGAGACCTGCCAATACGAGCCTAGCTACAACAAAGGCCAGAGTTGTCTTGATGGAGGTTGAGGAGAGGCTTTGCACGACCTTCAGCCAAGCGGAGTTCAAAGAAGCCGGCAGAGACGTCTGGATGGGCCTGGCTTCGTCTGCAAGCTGACGAGTGCCCAGTCCGGAGGCCGGAATTGTCTCGAGCTTGGTGCTGGAGCTGTGTATTTCGGAAAGGACGGAAACCAGAAGGCTGGCCGAGAATTTGCCTTTTTGGTCCAAGTACAAGGGACTATTGTCTGGTAAGTGGAAGGTGGTAAAGAAAAATATGACACAGAAGGAACATCGTGATGGCACAGGAAAAAAAAGTATGGGAAGAGAACTCACAGTCACTGCAGAACCTTAGCAGGAGCTTTAGAAGGACGTCCTTACTGAACCGTGAGACCAAATTCTTTTCTTGCAGAGAAGCGGTAGCGGTCACGACATCGGTTGCCGACTCCAGTATAGAAAGCTGCAGTGCAAATTATGAAATAAGTATGATATCGGTGTGAACGGCAACACACCACATGACCACGCATGGGAGACATGAAGTACGACGCTGAAATAAACCAGCACACCGGTAGTAGACCGCGATGATAAACGAGACAGTGAAAGAAGCGAGGACAAAATATGGGGGAGGAGGGTTAGTTTGGCTAATAAAAAACGGGATGATAGCCCATAAACGAGGTGCGCAGGACAATATGATGTGGTACACATGCAATAGTGAAAAACCGAGCGGCAAAGACAAAGCCCGTCTACGAAATCCGACATCCAAACTATAGAGATGGTGGCTTAGGGCACCAAAATATTTTTGATTTGAATTACGAACGGTCAGGCAAGCGAAACATAACCAAAATAGTTTTGGTAGTCAGTGATATCCGTGAGGTAGAGAACCAGTTTTCTTATGGATTCTGCTAAGAGTCAAAACCCAGGCCACCCCTCATCAGGACGCAACATGTCACAAAAATGGCCAAAAACAGTTCAAAGCAGTGTCTAGGCAGAGTCGATCAAGAGGGGGAGAGCACTGATCTATAACTTACAATAGTTTTTGAGGCCTCTTTATTGTCTTCGTGCGGTAGGGACTTTCCAGATATCATTTGACCTCCGCCAACAAGAGGATGAGTTGAGTTAATTGCCGGGCGCCTCGTCGCGGATAGACTGTCAGTTTGACTACTCCACCGATTACCATGCGCAGGAGAGACCGGATTGTGCTGGACAGTGGATAACTGACGACCGGTACCAGCAACTGTCTGGACAGAGACCAAGCTGTCGTGAGGCACCAATCTTGTCGTACCTTCAGCGCCTGAGCTGGCATCCTGACCCATGAGCGAATTGGTAAGAGAGTCACTGGGTGATGTGTGGGAATTGCTTACGACCTTTGAGGAAAGATAGTCGGGCTGAAATGAGGTTTTCAAGAAATACAATGATAGGGATTAACGAGGTAATTTGAATCACTGGATACTAGTCGGAGAACATGGGGAAGTGGACCGACTTCCACAGAATTGGAAAATGACTACGAAGAATGCTCGGATCTTACCCCTGACTATCCGGCCATGACAGAATTATTGTAGCTCAATTACTGGTCTTGAATTTGGCTTAAATTCCATCGTAATGAGTCATAACTTAAAGAAAACATGCTGTCAATCCTTTAGGCATACTTCATTTCCGTGATTAAAAACGAATTGCGAACGTAAATATAAGCCAGATTTCACACCTCAAAGTAGCCCGAGTTTGACATGGAGGGTACAGTGGCTTGATCCGACTTGTGAAACTGATTTATGATAGTCCGTCGTTGAAAACGTGGTAGCATGGCATTATCGCCCGCCGGCTGATTACTGGAATTGCCACGGAGGACGATGCCACGAGTCCAGAGACCGTTGCTGCCACTGCTTGTCCTGCTGCCGTTGCTGACTGTTTCGAAGTCACGGCCAGTGAATCGGGTAAACGCATCACTCATTCGGCCGACGTTGAAGGTTCGAGCACCGACGCTCCCACCACTTGATGTCCTTCGGAAGTCATCACTACTGTCACGTCGAAAACTACTACCGTACATAATACCGGAGTTGTTTGAGAGAAGGGAAGATGCGCCAGTGACGGAGATCGGAGTAACAGCCCTAGAATTCCGGCTGTTAAAAGATTGCCGCGAACGCTCTTTCGTATAGGCGTGATTTCCGTTGCTGGGAGGTGAGCTGCCGAACAAATCTAATTCTTTGCGCTGAGAACACAGAGCTTTGCTCATCTGGTTGAGCTTCATCCAGTCTGCCTCCGCGCTCATTCCCCAGAGTTCGCTGGATCTGCATGAGGCAGATCCAGTAAGGCCGAAAGTGGGTGAATTACCATCCAAAGGGTGATAACCGCTGCCTGGCACGTCACGATGGGTTGGGGACCGTTCACTGCGTGATGGCTCCAGGACAGTTCCCGTTTTCTGTAAAAATAAAAACGCTTAAGTAGTTTAATCCGGAAGACAAAAAGGCGACTATAAATGCGCTTGACACTGGATCATCCTTGAGATAGATAAAACGTGTTTTAAAAGGATGTTATTCAAGTTTTCTGAAAATTTACACCCTTAATCTAAAACTTGGACTTAATTTTTGGAGGCTTCAAGTAAGCATTACTATAAAAATGGCTCAAGATTTCAGGTAAATGTGGAGCGCGCTACCTTAACATAATCACCACGTTGGCCATGTAGACTAAGAATCACATACTTTGCGTCTCAAGTCTGGTGGCGTTAGTCTTAGCGTCACTGTCCAGATATCGATATTGATCACTGTATAAATTTGAAAATACAAAGATGGGCACAAGCTTTGTGATGTCAAAAATAAAAACATACCACCTCTAGTTCCCTCCGAATTTCAGAAAGAAGTTTGGGTTTGTTGGACTCGGCTTGTTGCCCAGTGTAACGCGGAACCCAATTATTTTGCCGAAGCTCTATGATATCCTTCATCATGAAACGAATCCGAGTGTCGAGAGGAAGAAATTTGTTTCCCGCAGATTTCTTCTTCGAGGACCGCGATGAAGCATCTGAGGCCTTTATATTGTCCGGTCGATTTTGCTGACCCGACGTCCCGCGCTCCAGTATGCAGCACATCCGCTCGAAGTATTG